GGCAATACTTGTCCAATGGAGCTCAAATTTGGATATGTTGTAGTTAACATCCATTGGAACAAGTTTCATGAAGATCATGACCTCATCCAAGCACCAGAGCATGTTGATCCCAGGCCAAGAAGTTGACCTACGAAAATGAACAAAAACAAAGTTTATAACCAATAATGCACTTTTAGCTCATTTTCATTCCAACCAAGGTAAAATCTAAGAAAACACAAAAAGGAAGTAAAAAGCTATAAAATGTCAAGAACTAACTCAAAATAGTGGGTGAATAACATGAAAAATCATGTGTAAAAATGAACCGAACACCGCACTTCTCTTTATTCACCCCATATTCTAATTTAAATTTTCACAATTTCTAAGAAAACCCCACTATCTTCCCAAACTACCCTTAAATACACATCCAGTAAAAAATAAAGAGATAAAAACACTGCTGCCAAGAAAATAAAAACGACAGCTGATGAAAATGGAGAAGATTTATTTGTTGCGAGGTCAGTAGAAGAGACAATCTTGCACAAGGAAGAGCCCAGGGAGCTCAAAATTTCTGAATTTGCTCCAGAAGAGTTTAATGTTGGTGAAACTGAAGAAGAAATCGAAGAAACCTTTGAAACGGTGTCTAAAGCTGATTCTCAAAGCACTGACGTAGTTTCCAAAGATGAGATCATTGCTTATTAGATAGTCCATGAAGGGATACCAAAAGAGCAACTTCAAATACCATCTTTTATATTGCTTCCTGAGGAAAAGGGAGATCAAAGCTTCTGAACATGAGCATAGATGTACTAGGGTTAAGTATTAAATTGGAGGACTTTTTTGTCTTTTTACATAATAATAAAACTTAAGAGCTTAATAATTTAAGTATTAGAATGAACAAAGAAAATTGTGGGGTTTAAATAGAAAAACTCTTTATGGAATCATGGTTATACATACGGACACGTGTCAAGTATTGAGAATGATATTAAAAACACACTTTGGGTTAAAAATTAAAATGATGAGAAAAATGCTCCACAAAAAAATAATAATAATAAAGGAAAATAGTGTATTTTGGTGAGTTTTACATGGATTGATATGATGACATGATCTTTTGGGAGAAAAATACGATGACATGATCTTATCATTAGAAAAGTTCATTAAAAGAAAGGATCATATGCACGCGTGAAGATGTTACGTATTTGCCAAACCAAAAAGAAGAAGAAAAGAAAGAACAATCATATGTACGCGTGTCACATTCTTATAGAACAATGGAATTTTGCAGAAGAGTAGATATGAGGATGGAAACAAAAATAGCACTCCTCCCTCCTAACAAAGAAATGCCGGCCAAAAGAGAAAACATCCCACATCCTTCCAAGGCTATGGCCGACTTTATGTACATGTATGTGAATTCCACGTTAAAATGCATAATTCAAATTGAATTAAGCTGATTAGAGGAAATAGTTCATTTTCCCGATTGATAGTTTTTTCCATTTCAAATACGTAAAAATGTCATTATTAAATAAAGAAAACGGATATGTTTGATTTGTTGTTTTACCTATCGGAAGTCCATAATTGACTTAAACAGAACATGATTAGATAAAGATGACTGATGTTAAGAAGATTGATATGAAATCTATGATGGTAATACATATATGTATACCAGATGTTTTATAAATTCACCGTTAGCATCACCTCAAACCCTAATAATAAGTTGCATTGTTCATATATATAGGCACCGTGGCACATATAGACAATTACACATGATGTTAACGTGCACTATAATACGAAATCATGAATGCTACTATTAGGAAATTCATAAGTTCTTTGGATCTATTGTTGGAAGGGATAAGAAATCATGCATTTTCCTTCTTCTTCTTTTTTACTATATTACTTTTGGTAAATTGTAAAACTGTAAAAGTCCATTAAACTCATGCTCAGAGATATTTAGTTATATACCCATTCTTAATACTAATAATATAGATAAACCATACATCATTTAATTTCTATAAACAAATATATATTAAAAAAAACCCAAAAAATGACTGCTGGCTTTATTGAATTGAATTTTGATTATTTAATTACTTTGATGCCCTATTGAGTGTTTTGGATATTTTTATGAGGTTTTGGGATTGGGCTTGTTTTAAGAAGTTGATGGCAGTTTTATAATTTATAAGAAGTTGAAAGCCTATTTGTTATATTGTAAATGAATTTTTAATGTGTTTCTAAAGTCCATTTCATATATGGTTTTTTTTTTAAATAATTTGGGCAATAGTGAATCTTCCCTCATGCCCTACCATAGACGCCAAACAATACCTCAAAAAAATAAAAAAAAGTCGGTGATATAGACAGAACTACATACGTGGTGGTAATTAATTAAGGTTGAAATCATGACCAAAATTGTTTTCACCAAGTACTTTTTAGCCTATAAAACAGAAGCTCATGTTCAGCTCATTGCAGATTACAATTCACTGAAAGAACTCACAGAGAAACAATTTGGAATTAAGAGAGATGTTTAGCTAAAGTTGGTTTCCATTTTTGCTTGCATCGGTGAAGCTCAAATTCAAATCTGAGTTTCCAACCTCATCATCATCGCTTCAGAAACATCTACTGTAAGTATATGAACACCTACCTATATTTTTTTGCCTTAAAGAATCGATTAAACATGGAAGAACTAACACCATCATATTTTTTTGCTCAAATTCGTGTTTATATTATATGTTTTAGATTGCAATAGTTATACCATCATAATCTACATGAAAAACCCCTCGATTTTTGCTTTTGAATCACTAAAACAGTTTAAGAAACGAGAAAGTTATAGCTAAAACGAGTTTTCCGAAATCCGATGACAATTTTCAGATTCCGGCGGTTCTATGAGTTTTCCGATACCGGAAAATTGTGATTTTGTTGTTTTTCTTTGTTTAATCCATTTGAATGCTTCTAATTATGTCTAACATGATTCTGTAGTAAATATCTAAAGCATCAAAGTGATTTATAATATCATATTGCTCAAAACTTTTCCGGCGAATCTCTCCGGAAAACTCAAAGAAAGTCCATAGATTGAAATATTTCATATCTCGCCCATTTCTCAATCGTTTTTAATTATCTCTCTATCAATATAAAGCTTATGCAAAATCACTAAGATGCTTATTTATTTTAAAACAGGGACATTTATTTTCTCAGCTCGCGCCACAGATACTCCATGCTAATCTCGCTTTTGCCCTCAGCGGTTTTCTGGTTATTACGGTTATGATAGTTGTCAATTACCGCCAACTTAAGAGCCAAAGCTCTTCCCCAGCTCTCGGCTTTCCTCGCCTCAGGTTCTTCCGATACCGGCGCTTGAGGTAAACTGGTAATAGCTACTCACCAGACTCAACCAATAGTTGCAGAAGTTCTTATTTTTGCTTCTGTTCCCGAATCGATATTGTATTTACGGAAAATGCCGAGTCCGAAGAGTACTCATCGGAGGGTCGTCCAGGAGGAGAAGAATCGCAGGGGGAGATCACTCAACGAGAAATCGTCATCGTTTCACGGCCAGTTTTCGGATATGGCGACGCCGCAGCTTCGGAGACCAAAAACGGTGCCAGACATGGCGTCGTTCAGGAACACGATCGGAATGACACCGGCCACGGAGTTACAGCCGAAATTGACGAAGCTGCTCCTCAATGTGACGATTCAGGGGAGCGTTGGCGCCATACATGTCATAATGCCGCCGGAATCTGCGGTAAAAGATCTGGTGGCGGCTGCCATACGACAATACGGAAAGGAAGGTCGCCGTCCGATCTTGCCCTCTGTCGAGCCCTCGTTGTTTGACCTCCATTACTCTCAGTTCAGCTTAGAAAGTAAGTGTTTACTGTGCTTTTGGGGCTCGTGAAATTAACGGTTGTGATTATATTTTGAATACGTTTTTAGTGGTGATTGATTGTTTTCTCTTTTGTGCGGGGCCAGGTTTGGATAGGGAGGAGAAGCTGATGGCGTTAGGATCGAGGAACTTTTTTCTGTGCCAAAGCGCAAATGCAGTGGATGCTGGCGGTAGCGAAACGACGTCGTCTGCTTCATGTTCAAAACAAGCAGAGAAAGTTTCAAGGACTGGATTTTCATGGCTCAAGTTTATGGATTTCTTGTTGTAATTGGCTTAATTAGTTGCCACATTAATTAAAATATTATTGTTCTCCTCAAATGCCTTTGGGTTTGTACATAATATATAGGTCCGTATTGTAATAGAAGAAGATTTTATTTCAGGGTTTTTTTATATATTATTTCAGGGCTTTGTACATAATGTAGGTCCGTATTGTAAGCTTAGAATTTTGATGAATGCCACAAGATATTGTCACAAGCTGTAATTAGTTGTTCTTGTCCTCCTCGACCATTAGAAAAGGTGGCGTTCTAAGATGGCGGCGCCCAAAGTCGGTTAAAAAAACCACAAATGGTCGAAAAGATAGAGACTTGCAAAACTCAAACTCAACTTGGATACATTTGGATATATTTCGATAAGAAAAAAAGAGAGGATATATTTGTTTAATAATAAGCTCAATAACAGCCACGAAGCAAGGACTAATTTGATTCACTTTCACTGTTGGATTAAACTAATCTCACGGTAATTAAGTACGAAGTTGCATCTAATTGAGTAGTTGTTCTTGAATTGACGGAAGACTTTAAATTGACGGTTTATATCATTAAACTATATAATATACAATGAGCTCTAAAAGAGCATCAAGCTCTCCTTGTGTCAGTGGGGTATAACTTAGTTAGTTGAGCTATTTCACAACAACTAATTGAGTTAAAATTTTAAAAATAATTAAAATAAATGTTGAATATATTTCAAGCACGCATGTCCAATTCTCATCCATATATACTATTAATTATTTGTTCTTGACCTAAAAAATAAAAGCCTATTATTTGGTTTTGTCCCCATTTGATTGTAAGACCATAATGGACACAACTACAAACATCCAAATTAGAAAATGAATAATATCGAGGAAAGAGAGACTGCATCTATCAGAAAAAAAAATTTAAAAAATTTCTAAACCCAAATTTTTTTTTCCTGTAGAGAGAAAACCCAAATAATTTGAAGTATATGTATTTTGAAATTTTCACAAATAAAATAGTTGAGTTTCTTTATGAACAATGTAAATGGGTCCCACAGTCATGACATCTTTATCTTTATCCTCTTTACATTGTCTCATCAAATTATTTGAGAGAAGAATGTACATAGGTTGGGAAATGAGGATATGTAGTTGTGTTACAATCATTCGAGACTTTTTTTTTTCTTTTTGAAAAATAAAATTTGAAGCATATATTTACCGATGACTTTGCTTAGAGGTAATTTCTAAATACAAAGAGTTTGTAGCTCAAGTGCAGCTTGAACTTAATGTTCTATGTTCAATTCCCCCTCCTTCAATATCGCTTGAATAAATAAAAAAGTTACTAACCCACAATTGTATTAAGGGCATTAATGGCATTAATGTAAAATAGAAACCGCACTGCTTAAGGGCATTAATGCAAAATTAAGCAATAAAATAAAACACAAAAGAAAAAAAAAAAAAAAAAAGAAGGAAAATGGAGCACCCACTCATATTATTTTAATAAAAAAAGAGTACATAATTTTTTTTTTTGGGGTATAATAATAATAGTAGCTCCCATAAGTTAAAGTATACATATCAAGCCAAGTTTCTTTTAAGTGGAAGTGCCAAAAATATCATGATTATTTTAACTATTTTATTTGCCTAACACTACAACAACCTTGTATTATTGTGTGGTGCCACTGACAATAATGCATGATGCCTACCCCAATAATTACAGGCATGGTATCAGGCCCTCTATCATTTTTATGTGGGGTTGCAAGAGAATATTATTTTTTGTTTTGAAAAAAAAAAGGAATTTAAATGAAGAGAAAATAGCTGCGTTTTGGAATTACTTTGACCTTTTTTTTATTTTTGGGTGTGGAAAATAAGTAACTATATCCAAATTGAACATGGAAAACTCATACTGGAAGAAAAGATTTGGATTTTATGCATTTATGATTGTGAAATGGTTTTTATGATTGTGAAATGGTTTCTTGGATTCGGCTGTAGCTGTCCCACCTTTTTTTTGTTTGATTTCCACCCTGTTGCTGGCCTACTTGCTAGGTGTGGGGAACTTACGAATCAGATTGAGGATTGTGTGGTGCAGCATGTTTATAGAGAGAAAAACTGTGTGGTTGATGGACTTGCAAATTTTGGGTATTGTTGGAAGTTTGAATGAAATTTAAGTATATTTGTCCCACATTGGTAGAAAGAAGAAAATGTGGAGTTTTTATAATTGTGGAAGTCCCATGCTTAGTAAATGGAAGTTGGGTAAAGTAGAAGCCAATTGGGCTACAAGTTCGATTTGGGCACTTCAGATTTAAATTAATTTTTTAGTTTCAAATTATTAATTTTTAATTAATCTGGATGAGTTTAAATAATTATTTTTTAACAGTTGTACTCTTCTGAAAGGGTTTTAGAAGTTTATTTAAATAAGAAGAGCCCTCATTCAAAAAACACACAAAAAGTATCACACCACATTCATTCATATTGTTTGAGAGGAAAACAAAAAAAAGTTTGCCACATTCTAAGTCCTAGTGCTAGGGCTTAGAATATAAATAGTTGAATCATGGGAGGCATTCATTTGTAAAACTTCAAACACCGAGAATGGGTAAAATTACTGTCTTTAGGACATTTCATCAAATCTATAAGCTTCTATCTCAAATTCAAGTAAATTTCATTTATTTATTGTTTACTGTAATTCAATTTACAATTGATTATAAATTAAATTTCGTTAGAGTATATATTGTTGATATATAAATATATTACTTAATTAAGTCACTGATTGTTGTCTTTCCAACCGTTACAATCTGGGGATGGGAGTTTGCTTTTTTGATTCAGCTCCGGATTGGATAGTCTCCTTACTAGTTGATGATTGGTTAGGGTCTCTTGTACCAGGTTGATTTGTAGTTCTACTATGTAGTTTCTGTGTTTGGGGTTCTTCCCCATTATTTCATAAAAAATAAAAAGGAGACAAATTATTCAAAATTGAACAAATCCAATTATCAATATCATTATTAAGTGGAGGAGGTTTAATACCAAACTAATCAAGTAATTGCCAAATTTGTAAAGTGTAACGACATTTCCCAAAAATATGATTAATAGTTTCATTATGAATTTGGCAAAATTAGGACGAAGTTTGAACTTCGAGTTATTTACACCAACACCCTCTAAGGTTTTTGGCTTTTTCATAAAACCTCCTAAGATTTTAGAAATCACACAAACATCCCTTGAGGTTTTAAATTGTTTTCACAAAACCCATTTTCATTGATTTTTCGTTCAAAGATTGATGATTTTATACAAAATAATTCTCCAAATGACAAAGTTGGCATTTGGGATTAGATTGCATATACTTCATTGAGGTTAATTTTGTCATTTGCATAAGTTTTTTTCCAATGAAATCATCAATTTTTGGACGAATAATCAACGAAAAGGGGTTTTGTGAAAACAAACTGAAATCTCAGGGGGTGTTCGTGTAATTTTTGAGACTTGAAGAGGTTTTGTGAAAACACAAGAAACCTCAGGGGGTGTTAGTATAAATAACTATTTGAACTTCCGAGCGAATTAATTATTAATTGGTCTTGTAGATTGTGGAGTTTGAAGATAGGTAGCTGACTTAAGGGAAAAATATAAGACGAGCACTACAAAAAAAAGTGGCAATAGTCACCATTATTTGGTGACATTTGCTGGGGTGACTAAAGGCTTTAGTCACCACAAAAGGCCTTTTTGGTGACTATAGCCTTTAGTCAACCCAACAAATGTCGCCAAATAATGGTAACTGTTGCCACTTTTATTTTTTATTTTTTTTATTTTTATTTTATTTAGTGGAGGAAGGTCCCCAAATAAACTGATCAAGAGTGTCAGAGGAATATTAATTGTACAAATAGAATTAAGAATATTGGTGGGTATTGCAATTGCAAGGGGGTTATAGCTCAAATGGTTAAGAACATTTACCTCTGCACCAAAGGTCCTAGGTTCCATTCCCCAATATGACTTGCATTAATATATATATAGTCCTCTTCTATTCAGGGATCCCACAAATAATTTTATTTGAGAGACACCCTTTAGGGTCTCCTATGAATTTTTTTTTCAACGATCATAGACGGTTATGATTAGTGAAATACAATACGGAGTGAGCCCTACAAGGGTGTCCCTCAAATAAGCATATTTAAGGGATCCCTCAATTGAAGCTCTGTGTGTGTGTGTATATATATATATATATCAGTGGGTAGAATTTGAGCTAATATATCTTTATTCCAATTTGCATTATTAATACTAGCCCCTTGGCACATGCGTGGGTGTGTGCCAATTGGTTTTTATATTTTATTTTATTTTATTTTGGAATATAAAAAGATATTGAGTAGTTGTGTTTTATAAAAATTGGACCCATTATCTGATTTTGTTTTTAATTTTAATTGTTTTTAAAAATGAAAAGGTGTGAATTTACTATATTATCCTCATTTAATTAATAATTTAAATTCTTAATGTTTGCATTAACCAAAGGCTTTTTTTGGTATTTTGAATGTCTCACCATTCTCTTTCTTTTACTATATATATATATATATATGATGTACCACAGTTTCATCAATATTGGGTATTAGATTATAAGAAATAATTATTTTTAGAGGAAAATATTGGGTATTAGATTATAAGAAATAATTATTTTTAGAGGAAAAGGAAAAATCCAATTAAAAAGCTTGAACTTAATAATTTGACCGTTCTGGCAGAAAAATAATAATAATTTGACCGTTACCAATAATCCATCTCATCCCTTTTAATAGTATAGGACGATTTTTAAGGCCAAAAATAGAATCTTGTAATTTACTTTGAACATTAAAAAAAAAAAAAAATGATATTTTAAATATTTTCTACTCATTATTTGTACCCACCAATTATTAGGTTGTGTAATAATTTTCCATCCCAATTTTGCAAGAGCAACATTATTATATTATGAATTTCTTAAGCCAAATCCTTTATTAAAAAAAAAATCAAAGAAAAACGATAATTGTGTTCATAAATTAGGCACAAAGGTAAACACAAATGCCCACAAAGGGGTAATACAAATATGGAAGCATAGTAACCACATAGGGTTAATCCAGATATAGGCCACAAAAGGCCAGAGAAATTTCGGCATAAAAACCGCATGCTCACCAAACATGAATCACATCGTCCAAATCTACCAATACAACTACAACTTCAACTCACAAGTACAAAATACAAGTAGAGACTAGAAAAAAATCCAACACCAAACTCACAAGGAGTTGATGCAATTATTACAA